TGCTCCAGAGTTACTTCAAAAAACCACTTACGTTACCGGGCATTAGGGAGAAATGCCTGTGGGGAAATTACATTTAAACGTTAGCCAGGAAAACACTGGGCTTCCCCATGCCAGTTACCATTTTCTATGGGGGGGGGGGGGGGGGGGTGTTGAAAAAATACTATTACCGGAATCCAAATTTTAAAGGGGGTTTCCCAAATTTGTTTAGTGACCCGTGTACTTCCTTTGGGGCTATTTTAATTTGCCCGGCCGGAACGTTTGGGGCTGAAGCTCCTACCCCCCGGAAACCAGCACCGTGATTGACCGCCAGTTATTAATGGGTTTATCTCTTTTGGTAGCTACAGAGTGTGCTTTTTTCAATCCCAAAAATAACCAACTAGCGGGGTAGGGGTGGGTTGGGTGTGGAAGTGTTCCGGTTTTTACTGGGGGTGACATGTTAATACATAACCCACTTTAAGAACCCCGATTTAAATTTTGGGGGGTTTAAATGGCATCCCACCCGGGAAAAAGCAACCACAAATTCTTTTAAGTCAATCAGGGAAAGGATAATTCTGTTAAAAGGCAATGACTTCCAAGGGGAACAGGGTCAGGAGGGACAGGCCGGTTGTATAGACAGGGGAAAGTCACATACAGGGCCTAATTCTTCCTCGACAAAACCCATTTAACTTTGCAGTTGGCGGGCCCCCTTCAAACCGGGTCGGGAGGGGAGGAAGCCGGAGGGTAAAAGGAGGTTTTTCCAAGATTATGGGCAGCAGTTGAAAGACATAAGGGTGGACTCCACGGAAAAAGGGGGAAAGAAAAAATTGAATGTTTCGTCAGGTTGGGCATATAGGAGAGAAAGGGGGATATTGAAAAAGGGAGAAGGGGATAGGAAAAAAGGGAAAAGGGTTTTGACAGGTATAGATTGTCCAGAATTCCGACCTTTTAGAGAACGGGGCAGGGAGGGTTAGTACCCGCCGGCCCAATCCGAGAGAGGGGTGGGAAGGAATTGTTTGGGCCCCCGATAAACCCAAAGAAAAAGAAGAAGAAGGGAAAAGATGTTGCCCGTTACCAAGGGGGTTTCCTACAGGGGCGTCCTCCGGTTGGCTGAATTTTGAAACCTTTTGGATAAGTTTTAAAGGGAAGGGAAAAGCTCTTTTCAAAGCCAAGGGGGATATTTTTCAAAAAAAAGGGGGGAAGGAATGCTTTTGAACAGGTCAATTTTTTTTGGGGGGGCTTCCGCCTGACGGAAGGGCACCACGGCGGAAAGTTTCACGTGGGTAATTAGTCACCCGGGATTTTTTAAAAAGGGGGGGAAATGAAGCCAAAGTTTGGGCCCCAGTAAGCCGGTACCCCCGGAAAAGGGGGTTTTGTCCGGGTCCCTTTTTAAAACTTCGCCCGGGGGGCACACCAGTTTCAATGTCAAGGAAATCGGGAGGGAGCCCCCGGAGGGAAGGGAAAAGAGGGTTCTTCCAGGGGTTGGTTGAAAGGTTGAATAAACTTTTTGATAGAAAACTCCATCAGGAAATGGTTTTTGTCAGAGGGGGAAAAAAGGAAGTTTGGACGTATCAGGAATGAAAGGAGAATTTGTATGAGGGGGAAGGGAACTAGGAAAAAGAAAAAGGAATGGCAGAAACTTTTGCGAAATTTTTATCTTTTGAGAAACGTTGGCGAGGTTGTTTTCCCTGTCCTGGCCCATCAGGACGAGTAGGGGTGGGAATGCCCAAAAACTGGAAGGGGAAAACTGAGGGAAGAAAAGAGCAAGAAGGGGACAGACCAAAGGGGAGTCTTAGCTAGGGGTTTGCGGGGCTCCGGTGCCGGAAATTTCAAAAAACCATCCCAGATAACGTTTTGGTAAAAGGTTTCATCCGAAAGTCCCAAAAGGGGTTTTTCTCTAAAACGGGCATTTGAAAGAGTTTCGGGAAAAAAAAAGAAGATCAAATTCTTAGCTACTCAGTTGGCGTGGGTTTTTTGGGGATTCCCCACGGGGGACATGCCCTCACGGGGGGGTTTATCGCTGGGTATGATTTCAAGGCAGGGAAAAGTCATAGTAAGGTGGTGCAACCGAGGAGTTGGCGGGCCTGCAACAATCGCGTTTTTCTAAAAAGGGGGAGATGAGTTCAGATTTCATTGGAGGAAAGCCCTGTTAACAAACGAAAGGTCATCCGGCCTTTCTTTCCGTTGGATTACTAAAATCGGGTGGGGGGTGGGGGCGTGGGGGAAATTTCAAAAAAATGGGCAAGGTCTGGGTTTAACCCCAAACTTAATAAGATTTCCCACACATGGAAAAATTGAAGGCCGTTAAAGACCAGGTCGGTAGGGCTTTAGGTTTCCCAATTTCCCTCCGACCCGGGCTCTGTAGTCCCTACACCAAACCCGGGCTGGGGGAACCGGCGGCCTGGGGAACAAGTTCCCCCCAAATAGCAAAAAAGGCGTTGGCACCCCCTGGTGGGAAAAGTTCACGAGAGGAAGGGATAAAAAATTGGAGAAGAAACCCCAATCTGGAATACCTGGAAGGAAAAATATTTACTTAAAAATAGATATTTTGTGGGTTTTGGGCCCCGGTAAGGGGAAGGACAAAGTAGTGTCGGAAGAGGATTGCTAAATGAGTAAATGTAATGAAATAGGGGCAAGCGGAAATTGAAAGAGGGGAGGGAATGATGAGTTGAGGCAATAAAGGGCAAGGGAAGAGGTGGAAAAAAACCAACCCAGGGAAGAGTCAAGGCATGAGGGTTTGAAATCCCCAAGCTGTAAACCTATGACGCCCACACTAACAGTCACAATAAAATTTGCAATTTACAGCGACAGGGACTTACGGCAAATTAGGAAGCCCTTTTTAAGGGACAAACCCATTTTTTGCGTGACCGGGTGGAATAGAACCGCACCGGGTTTCTGGCCCGGTCTTAAATAAGCGTACCTTTCGTATCCACCCAAAAGACTGGGAAATAGCCGCCACATTAAAGGGATGTTCCTCTTTATTGGGAAAACTTTGAAATCTTTTACTTATCACATTATTCCTATTGGAGCCGATCTTAGGGGGGGGGTTTCCTGGTTTTTTTCTTTTTTGAGGGGCTTCACCCCAGTGAGTCATCAACCACGGAGCTGGGGGGGGAGGGGGCCGGGAGATGGGGGACACAGAGAGTAAAAAGGAGCAGAAAAGGGAGGAGAGGGGGTTTGGGAGGCAGAATCAAGATTGGGGGAGAAGGTTGAGCGGGGAAGAGATGATGGTGGAAGGGGAGAGAGTAGGGGGAGAGAAGAGCAAAGGTTTGGGGGGCGCTTCCCATCGTGAGGGAAGAGTGGGGGTAGTGGGGGGGAGGAGGAAAGAGAGAAAAGGAACAAAGTAGGGTCGGAGACTGGGGGGGATTGCAGTGGATAGTAGAGGAGCACACTATGAAATGGGGAAAGGTTTCCCGCCTTGTGGGTGGGGGGGGGAGGTGAGGGGTTTTAGGTAAAAAAGGGGAAGGAGTGGAAAAAAAGGGGGGGGCAGAGAGAATATAAAAACGGGACAAGGGGGGGTTAAAACCCCCCAAAATGGAGGGGGGACCCATCCCAGAAGGGAAAAACTTAAAAAGGCGTCACAATAACAGCACTTCGTTGCCCCGGGGCAGCTCAGCGGGGGAAAAAATTTACGAAGACTTTTTGGGAAAGGTCTCCTATGCGCTGCAGGGGGAAAGTCCGGTTTTCGAAGGGCCCAGTCTACTGCCAATTTTTGTCTATGGGATGCGGGGTGTATGCTTGCTTTATACACCCTCGCACGGTTGGGGCTGAAATAGCCGAATCCATCTTTTAAGGGGGGGTGCCCCACTATTTTTTGAATATAGTGACTTGTGAAAACATTATTTGGAAATTTTCATAAATTAAATTTCTTATGGAGGCCCTGATTCGTTAGGGGGGTTTTTGCCCCCCTACCCCCCCGAAATAAAAAACCCTGCACTTGCTGATCTGCACCCGGGAAAAATTTTAAATTGTTTCATCTCTTTTTCATTGGTCAGCTACATTGTCAGTGGTTTTTATATCTTTAAAACCCCAAAAAGTGAACCCAATACAAAGAGGTAGGGGGTTGCTTTGACTTTTTTTCCCTTGGTTTTATCATTGAATAGGGGGAAAGAAAAAGTTCAACACACATTATTCCCATTTTCCCAAAGTTACACCAGAACTTTGGGAGTTTAAAAGGGGACATCCCACAACGGGTTTAAAAAGAAAACCCCAAAAAAATTTATTTTTTTAATCGTAAAACCTAAGAGGATAATAAGGGGGAAAATTGACATAAAAATGAAAATGAAAAAAAAAAAGGTGGGTCAAAAGGAGGAACGGGGCAGGGTATGAAAATAGTACATTTGGTAATTACACAATAACTAGATGGCGCATATTTTTACCGTATCTTTAGTCCCTTTTAACTTCTTGTCCAGGTGCGCACAGTTTTCATGTAAGAGAAAGTCGGGGAGGGGGGGAAGGCAGGAAGGGACAAAGAAGAGGAGGTATTTCAAAATTAAGGGTGGGACACGCCAGTTGAATAAGACATTAAAGTGTGGGAAAAAACATCCATCAGGAGTGTGATTATTGTCGGACTGTGGAGATTTTTGCTAAGTGTGGCCCCGTATCAGAGGGAAAAGAGAGGATAAATTTTAGTATGGGGGGGAGAAGGGGGTCAGAAATTAGTTTTAAAGAGTTAATTTAGAAAAGTCATTGATAAAAGTCTCAGATATTTTTATCTTTTTAAGAGAAACGGGTTTTGGGATTTGGGGGTTTTTTTTTCTCCCTTCCTGGCCCCAAAACCCTACGTAGGTGGTGGGAAGCACCATAATGTTTGGGTCCAACCCCCGATAAACCCCATGAAGAGAAGAAAAAAAGAAATTTTTCGCACGTTACCAAATGGCGGGCGTCCTTGCTAGGCGTTTTTTTTGCACGGGCATGGTTTTTTGTATTTTTTCGAAAAACCACTCCCCTGTTAACGTTAAGGACGGTTCATGCCCAACAGTCCAAGGGATTATTTATTTTTAAAAAACGGGGCTTTTTTAAGGATGCTTTTTCCCCCCAAAAAAACACCCAAAATCAACTTCCCCAGCTATGCAGTCTGGGTGGCCCCGACCATGTATGGGGATTCGACCCCACGGCACAGCCTTTACTGGGTAATTTACTCGCCTATCGGGGGTATTTCATTTTAAAGCGCAGGGGACAAAATCGCTCAATCGGGGGGTGCAACGCACAGAAGGGGCCTTGGGGACCCGGGGCAAACCCTGTCGTTCTCGCTAACATCAAAGGGGGGTACCCATCCCGGGTTATGCTCTACAACATTGGAGGACACCCTGCCTTTCACAGGAAGCGGCACAGGCCCAATCCAGGGACTTTCATCTCCCGTTGGATTACTGCAACTCGTGTTCTGGGCTCCCTGCCTGTGCCCCTTTAACCCCCAAAAAACTATCCCGAATCCGCAGCCCGTCTGGTTTTCAACCTTCCCCCAAATTCTTTTCCCCGTCCCCCGTCCTCCGCAAAATCCATGGCTCCAGTTGAAGCTCGCATCTGTTTCAAGACCATGGGTTTCCCCTTGAGTGTGAGGGGACGGCACCTCCGACCTTTAGGCTCTGATACCCCACACCCAAAAAGAGGGGATTGCGTTCCCACCTCTGGGCGGGGTCCCCTTCCCCGCGGAAGCATATTCCAATCACCTAGCAAAATGGTTTTCCCCTTGGGGTCCCCCCCCGGGTTTTGGGGATTAGCGGGTAACTTTGGTCAACTCTGAGTTCAACTCAGGTCATACGAAAGTGGCTCACCTATTAGCCAGCTAAATTTCTATGGCAACAAATCCTTTAGAAACTAACCTGCTCCGGGGCAGGCTAACTCACGGTTAACTCCACTTACCCTGAATGAAATGACTGTGCCATGAGATGGGGACCAATGAAATCAGATTCCCTCCCTCTTGCAAAGATTGCATCATCATCCCCTTCATTTGAGGAAGAATACTGATTAAAATTTGTATTAATCAAATGTATTTTTTTTGTGCAAAAATTTGTAACGTTAAAATATATCGCATTACACATTTAGTAATGACAGAATGCATTTTAAATGTCATGCAATGTAACACTTTTGTATGACTTAATAAATAAATAAAATATCGATAGGAGTGCTTTTGCTTTTAACGCCAAAGACGGCATTAACGTTAAGTAAAAAAAATTAAGATGCCACTTCTAAAAGCCTATTTCCACACCATAGCCTGCTAAATTTGTAAGATAACTTTTTCTTTCATTTTGATTTCGGCACAAATAAAAATGTGGCACTGATTCACCCATGGATGGATTGATGTTTCAGCATTGTCTCAATGAGGAGTTCGGCGTTCGACTAGCTAGCTAGAGTTAGCGGCAGGCAGACGAGCAATATCCACTGTCGTAGTACGGATGAAGCCTGAGCTGGAATGTGAAGCTAACTGAAGCTGGTTAGCTTTAGAAAACCCTGAGTAGATCTAGCTTGCTTTGTAGGATACCCCTCTGAAGGCTATATAATTGAATGGTTTGTTTGTATATACTAGGACGACTAGCTTTAACCTGAATGTGAAACCGGGCCCATATGGAAGCGTCTCCGAGTAGGAGTGTTGATGATGATAATAATTTGGGGGGGTGTTTATATTTGTCCTGTTACACACAAGTGTGTAATGGAAATGTGTTTTTTGCATATATCTCAACTACCCCTGAGACACCTGAAGGGAGTGGGGTCACAGCCAGGGTCACCATTGTACAGCGCCCCTGGAGCAATTAGGATTAAGTGCCTTGCTCAAGGGCACAGCGATAGATTTTTCACCTTGTCAACTCCGGTATTCGAACCAGCGACCTTTCTGTTACTGGTCCAATGCTCTAACCTCGAGGATACCTGCTGCTGATCTAGGATCAGAGGGCTTGTAGGCCTGTTGTAAGGCAGGTCCTCACCAGACATCACCGGCAACAATGTCGCCTATGGGCACAAACCCACCGTCGCTGGACCAGACAGGACTGGCAAAAAGTGCTCTTCATTGATGAGTCGTGGTTTTGTCTCACCAGGGGTGGTGGTCGGATTTAAAAGGCCAACTAGATCCGCACACCTCCTCTTAGGCTGATGAATCAGACTGTGATACCATTTTCTGGTGTACAGCCTGAAACTAAGCAGTGGAAAGTTTCCTTAACAAGCCAGAATGTTCAATAAAATTACATTACACCATAACGGTTGTCTGTGTTTGGTCCTTCAGTGGGTTGAATTTGGTGACAAAATATCCACAAGAAAGTATTTACCCGACTTTTTAGAGCGCCAGCACTGCCGTATACATTTCTATCACATGCACTAAACCATGTACATTTACAATTTAGTCATTTAGCAGACGATCTTGTCCAGAGCGACTTAGTGGTGAGTGCATGCATTTTCGTACTTTTTAATATTGGTCCCACTTGGGAATCCAACTCCCAACCCTGGCGTTGCAAGCACCGTGCTCTACCAACTGAGCCACACAGGACTCGGTTGGTAGAGAATGCAAGACTTTGGTCAGTATGCATGCACCGGCTAACACATTTTGCTTGCCACACTGTCCTGTCAACGTTCATGACAGACGAGGGACGTTTTTGTAAATGTACGCGCCTAACCTACTTTGAGACACTGTGAACACGGGACCTGATAACAGCACCTGTGTGTAGCCTATGTATGGTGATGTTGGAGACTGAGTCAGTGTTGGTTGGTTGTGCTACCTGCAGGTATCTGAAACTGTTCACCTTCCTATCCCTGGCCGAGGTAGAGCTGGTGATGGAGCAGCAGAGACAGGAGCCAGGCAAACGTCCCGCACACAAACGTCTCGCCGTCGAAGTCACCAAACTGGTCCACGGCAAGGAGGGCCTGGATAGTGCCAAAAGGTGTTGTGTTTGTTTGTATGTTCACACGCAAGACAAGGCCTGAGTAACTTCAGACTAATGGATTGAATTAACCCCTTCACAAAGTCAAGATTATAAATTACCTTGGAATTGATCAGATGGAATTGGGTAGTGAAAGTGTGCATCTTGACAAATGCATGAAACATTTTGCAATAGATAATTAGTCAGAGAAAGACTGCATATGTCATTTGGGTGTCATTAATGAGGTGTCGCCTGGTACTAAATTCACTGTCCACTGCGTTTATTTTCAGCAAACTTAACGTGTTTATATTTGTATGAACATAAGATTCAACAACTGAGACATAAACTGAACAAGTTCCACAGTCATGTGACTAACAGAAATTGAATAATGTGTCCCTGAACAAAGGGGGGGTCAAAAGTAACAGTCAGTTACTGGTGTGGCCACCAGCTGCATTAAGTACTGCAGTGCATCTCCTCATGGACTTCACCAGATTTGCCAGTTCTTGTTGTGAGATGTTACCCCACTCTTCCACCAAGGCACCTGCAAGTTCCCGGACATTTCTGGGGGGAATGGCTCTAGCCCTCACCCTCCGATCCAACAGGTCCCAGACGTGCTCAATTGGATTGAGATCCGGGCTCTTTGCTGGCCATGGCAGAACACTGACAATCCTGTCTTGCAGGAAATCACGCACAGAACGAGCAGTATGGCTGGTGGCATTGTCATGCTGGAGGGTCATGTCACGATGAGCCTACAGGAAGGGTACCACATGAGGGAGGAGGATGTCTTCCCTGTAACGCACAGCGTTGAGATTGCCTGCAATGACAACAAGCTCAGTCCGATGATGCTGTGACACACCGCCCCAGACCATGACGGACCCTCCAACTCCAAATAGATCCCGCTCCAGAGTACAGGCCTCGGTGTAACGCTCATTCCTTCGATGATAAACACGAATCCGACCATCACCCCTGGTGAGACAAAACCGTGACTCGTCAATGAAGAGCACTTTTTGCCAGTCCTGTCTGGTCCAGCGACGGTGGGTTTGTGCCCATAGGCGACATTGTTGCAGGTGATGTCTGGTGAGGACCTGCCTTACAACAGGCCTACAAGCCCTCAGTCTCTCTCAGCCTATTGCGGACAGTCTGAGCACTGATGGAGGGATTGTGCGTTCCTGGTGTAACTCGGGCAGTTGTTGTTGCCATCCTGTACCTGTCCCGCAGGTGTGACGTTCAGATGTGCCGATCCTGTGCCGGTGTTGTTACACGTGGTCTACCACTGTGAGGACGATCAGCTGTCCGTCCTGTCTCCCTGTAGCGCTGTCTTAGGTGTTTCACAGTACGGACATTGCAATTTATTGCCCTGGCCACATCTGCAGTCCTCATGCCTCCTTGCAGCATGCCTAAGGCACGTTCATGCAGATGAGCAGGGACCCTGGGCATCTTTCTTTTGGTGTTTTTCAGAGTCAGTAGAAAGGCCTCTTTAGTGTCCAAAGTTTTCATAACTGTGACCTTAATTGCCTACCGTCTGTAAGCTGTTAGTGTCTTAACGACCGTTCCACAGGTGCATGTTCATTCATTGTTTATGGTTCATTGAACAAGCATGGGAAACAGTGTTTAAACACTTTACAATGAAGATCTGTGAAGTTATTTGGAATTTTACGAATTATCTTTGAAAGACAGGGTCCTGAAAAAGGGACGTTTCTTTTTTTGCTGAGTTTATTAGTAATGCTGTGTGTGTGTGTGTGTGTGTGTGTGTGTGTGTGTGTGTGTGTGTGTGTGTGTGTGTGTGTGTGTGTGTGTGTGTGTGTGTGTCTGTTTGTTTCTCCAGGTGCACCAATGCCCTGTACCACCGTAACCTTCAGGCCCTGGAGCATATTACAATTACATTTACGTCATTTAGCAGACACTCTTATCCAGAGCGACTTACAGTTAGTGAGTGCATACATTCTTTTTTTTATTTTCATACTGGCCCCCCGTGGGAACATATGAGTGATGCTGAGCTGCAGGAGCTCTTCAGAGAGGCCCCCTTCCATGAGCTGCTGCTGGAGCCAGGGACCATAGTACTGGATGCCTGCCGCAGGGCAGAGGCCATCCCTCGTGCCCAAAGGGTAGGGCTCTCCCTTTACATTCCTTTGTACCTTATCATCCCTGACCTGACTACCTCACACGGAGGGTCGCTCACGCTCTCTGTTTCACCACTCACACCCCAATAGCTTTATCACACTCTCTCTCTTACTCTATATTTTCCCTTTCCTCTAATCTCTCTTTATTGCTTTCCATGTTTCTTTCTTTCACTCCACTCTCAAATTCTGAAAAGTTCTCTATCTGTCTGACTTTCAAACATATGTGTTAACGGACTTTATGTGTTGTGTTGTCTCTGTGATGTGTTGTGTTGTCTCTGTGATGTGTTGTGTTGTCTCTATGATGTGATGCGTTGTCTCTGTGATGTGATGCGTTGTCTCTGTGATGTGATGCGTTGTCTCTGTGATGTGATGCGTTGTCTCTGTGATGCGTTGTCTCTGTGATGTGTTGTGTTGTCTCTGTGATGTGATGTTGTCTCTGTGATGTGATGCGTTGTCCCTGTGATGTGTTGTGTTGTCTCTGTGATGTGATGCGTTGTCTCTATGATGTGATGCGTTGTCTCTATGATGTGATGCGTTGTCTCTGTGATGCGTCGTCTTTGTGATGTGTTGTCTCTGTGATGTGTTGTGATGTCTCTGTGATGTGTTGTGATGACTATGTGATGTGAAGTGTTGTCTCTGTCATGGGCTGTGATGTCTCTGTGTTGTGTTGTGCTGCAGTTATCGCATGGTTTCAGAAGGAGCTGTATGGATCAACCACAGTAAGACACAGCACAGAGCAGGTACTGATCCCCGGCCAGCAAATCCTGGCCAACGGACTGTCTCTCTCAGAGTGGGCAAAAATAACTTCCACATCATCAGGTGGCTCAATCTGTGAGTGGCGCTGGGACCTTAGAACTCCTATTGACTGTCTGTGTACTGGAGGTAGGACAGCAAGCTGGGAGGCTTAGGTGAAGAGAGATGGTATTGTTTCAATATATCCCTGCTGGTATCTAGGAGGGGATTTAGTGCACTATATATGTGTGGATTCAATGACACTCAAATCATATCAAATCAAATGTTATTTGTCACATGCGCCGACTACAACAAGTGTAGACCTTACAGTGAAATGCTTACTTACAAGCCTTTAACCAACAATGCATTTTTAAGAAAGAATACCCCCAAAAAATACAATATAAAAGTAACAAATAATTAAAGAGCAGCAGTAAAATAACAATAGCGAGGCTATATACAGGGGGTACCGGTACCGAGTCAATGTGTGGGGACACCGGTTAGTCGAGGTAATATGTACATGTAGGATGTTATTAAAGTGACTATGCGTAGATAATAAACAGAGAGTAGCAGCAGCGTGGGGGGGGCAATGCAAATAGTCTGGGTAGCCATTTGATTAGATGTTCTGGAGTCTTATGGCTTGGGCAGAAGCTGTTTAGAAGCCTCTTGGACCTAGACTTGGCGCTCCGGTACCGCTTGCCGTGCGGTAGCAGAGAGAACAGTCTATGACTAGGGTGGCTGGAGTCTTTGACAATTTTTAGGGCCTTCCTCTGACACCGCCTGGTACAGAGGTCCTGGATGGCAGGAAGCTTGGCCCCAGTAATGTACTGGGCCGTATGCGCTACCTTGCGGTCGGAGGCCGAGCAGTTGCCATACCAGGCAGTGATGCAACCAGTCAGGATGCTCTCGTTGGTGCAGCTGTAGAACCTTTTGAGGATCTGAGGACCCATGCCAAATCTTTTCAGTCTCCTTAGGGGGGAATAGGTTTGTCGTGCCCTCTTCACGACTGTCTTGGTGTGCTTGGACCATGTTAGTTTGTTGATGTGGACACCAAGGAACTTGAAGCGCTCAACCTGCTTCAAAGCACTTCATGGCTACAGATGTGAGTGCTACAGGTCGGTAGTAATTTAGGCAGGTTACCTTAGTGTTCTTGGGCACAGGGACTATGGTGGTCTGCTTGAAACATGTTGGTATTACAGGCTCAGACAGGGAGAGGTTGAAAATGTCAGTGAAGACACTTGCCAATTGGTCAACGCATGCTCGGAGTACACGTCCTGGTAATCCATCTGGCCCTGCGGCCTTGTGAATGTTGACCTGTTTAAAGGTCTTACTCACATCGGCTACTGTAATATATTAAATATATTTGTTGGAAGGCTTTTGTCTTGTTAGTTGTATGTTACCTTCTGTGTATGTAAACGGTTGTATTTTTTGTGATCTTTAGATATTAGATACAGATTTGCCTAGTACTGCATTTTACCACTAGGGGTCAGTGCTGTCTTCTCTTTAAATGAGGACTGAGAAAAATTAGATTATAAGACCCTAGTTACGTCCAGGAATTAAAAATTCAATGGCGGAAATAAATTACAGCTAAAATAGATGATCATTAAAAAAAAAAAAAAAAATGACAATAGGTAATTTAAAAACAGGTGGACAAGATGTGTAGGTTTGTCACATTTTGATATGGGTGAAATAAAATAAATATTCACTCTTACTGTAGTCTGTTTCTATTGCAAATGGCCAAGGAGTTATTATAATTTATTTAAGTAGTTATTAATTGATGGTTTAATAAATAAGTGTAAATTGTCTAATTTAGTTAACCTGCAGAAAATATTGTATTCCCAATGAGAGATGCTTGCCACTACTCTAATACCATCCCTCCTTTTGCTGGGGTGTCCACTGGTGACCTTGACTGAGCTCAGATAAGTCAATATTTTTCATCTAATATTGGAGAGAAATAACTGGTTACCACCATGCAAAATAATTAAAATGTTAAGATTTTATTAGCTTTTTAGAATGCTTGACAGATTCATGACAAGGACTACCTACTCCAAGCAACAAAATGCTTCACCCTGGCCTGTGTATTTTAAAATGTTTCAAATCATTAAGGTGGTATAACAATTCCACATTTATTGAAAAACTATTATAATTCTCAAATAAAATTAGAATTCCCCCAGTATATTTATTGTTCTATTTTGGTGCTAAAAAACTATTTGACATGAAGATCGAGACCATTGACATTCAAATATTTTCTCAACATAAACAATAAATTAATAATGAATACTTTAAGTTTCCTTATAATGGCCCTTTATTTAGTTACATCCATAGCTACAATGTTATAGATGCCTATCGTGATTGTGGCTACAGCAGTTACAAAGTAAAATGTATTGAAATGTGACAATGTTGCAAAGCCTTTGTAAGGTGTATGATCGCCTTAAGAGAATTGGGCGGGCCTACGTTTTTTAACCAATGAATGCCCTTCTTCGTTTTAAATAGCTCTCTGTGTCAATCATTTTTTACCACAGTCAGCCTCCCCTCAATCGCCATATTGGGTACTGAAAAGGTTTGTCTGTTATTTCTTCTCTCTTACTACGAGAAGAAATTGACAGGAGTGGCTTCAGTTACTGCACATTGTTTTGATTATCTGTGGAGACTACTTTAGCTCGCATTGCCATATTGGACGTTAACGTTTCTATCCAGACCTATGCATGGCATAAGTGTTGATCTGTCGTTTTACGCTTGTTTTGGATCGCGGTGAGAAAGGAGGAAATACGAATTTTTAAAGTGTTTTATTTTGACGTTAATTGATTCTCCGAAAATGTCAGATGTTCGACTTTCAAATGGGAGCCCGACGTTGGAAAGGACGGATGCTCGGTTGTCGGATCACCCCAAACCGTCAGCCTGCAGAAACCTTTTCGGCTCGCCGGATCGCGAAGAGTTAAGGCGGGATTTAAAGGGACATTTGCAAGAGATGGAAGAGGCGGCCTCAGCGAAATGGAACTTCGATTTTCCAAGTCACACACCTCTATCGAACGGGAGATTAAAATGGGAATTAATGGATTGTAAAGACATTCCAAATTTCTACACCAGAACGCAACCATCCGTGAAAGACGTTTGCCCCTCTGGGAATAACAATGTGGATCTAAATGGGAATCATAATTGTCTGGTGGTGACTCCTCCGCAGCCCTCTGAAAACACCGAGAGGTCAGAGAGCCAAATGGAGAGCAAAGAGCAGTGCACCGGGCAGAGAAAAAGACCAGCCTGCCATGAATGTAGGCCTACGCCTTTATGAATGATGATGAAAATTATAGATAATCATCAGTCAGGCTACTTTGTCTTTCTGCCTACTGTTTACCGTGCTGGCCTATTCAGCTATGTAATTTGTATCAGCCAGGCTCGACATAACATTGTAGGAGACTGTAGGCTTAGTTACCAGATCGATGGGTCCACTTATCAGTTATTCTAAAGAAAAGAGTTACAACAATTATTCTAATAGTTTTCAGCAATGTTTTAAGTTGGCAATACCGGTAGCCTATGACTACCTGCTAGTCAAGTTGTAAAGATAGGACCTGATAGGCAAATCACTATAGATAGGGAAATGTAATGGCCTAAATTGCCTTACTCATATTTTCGAGGATAACATTTTGACCTAAATTCTGAAAAAAATTGTCTTTCTCTTCCAGACCCCTCATCCCAAAATAAAAGGTCACACAGTAGTTCGAATGAAGTTACTCCATGCCCTGGCTTGACACATTCTGTAGAACGCACACCCAGGAAAGCCAGTCCCAGGACTCAAACGTGAAGATGACGAAGGTGAACTAGTTATCTGATACTTTTGTCTGGCTTTAGTGAGATATGCTATACTGTTGTGGACTTATTTTCCCAACTAACCCAATATATTTTCCAAATGTTTTTTTGATTTAATTGCCTACATAAAGCTGGGTGTGTAAGCTGTTGGGTTTGGTAAAGCTAGACACATCACTTTGGTATTCCTGTAAGCATTTCAGACGTGCTGTCTAATATGTTGAGCAGTTGTGAATTTCCCACCTTGTAACCTATGCGCAATTGCCAACTAAGTAGCTATTTGTTTTAATGAAGCTCGAAATGTATGCTTAACTATATCGTTGTGACGTTCAGTGCGGTCCAGTAAAGGGTTAAAGTCCAAGAGGCTACACAAAATATAGGCAACATTTACTACAACTGCCACGGTGAGGTTAAGTTTCCGACGAAACTGTAAACAAGTCCTCAGAACAACACTATAGTAACACGTCAGCAACCACTGCCCTCATGAGAGGGAGAAGGGGCAGGTCTCCTCAGCAGTGCACTATGCATGCTAGTCCCCTCTCAAAACATCTGTCCGTTCTATTGAATGAAAGCGCAGTATGAACGTGTTTTTAATAGGCCTAAATGTTTACTCTAACTTGCAATGAAGTGTGTGTGTGTGTAGAGATGGAGAAAATGAATTATAATTTGGAAAATTAAAGTATTCTGGTGACAGTCTTGCTGCTTTGAATGAGTCAGTAGGGTGTCTGACCTCAGTAGATTACTATCATTATTATTAGCAATGTTTTGTCATGTTAGAACTACTACATGTTGCCACATCTATGTTTCTCTGTGAAAAGAAGTGTCCAGGAACGGTTTTGATGCATTTGTATGTGATAATGTTTACTGGTGTAAATTAGCATTGATCTCACAACTTTGTTTTAATTTCTCTCTGCAGAGCTGAAGATGTATTTCCCTTTTTGTCATGGAACCCTCAGTGTTTGGTGATTTTGAAGAGGAACTACAAAGAAAACGAAACATATCAATTCTCCCTAAGGATGGGGATGCTGTGCAAGCACTGAAATATAAACACTAAAGTTCTGGCACTCATAAAGTTACTGCCTCTAAAAGCAGTCGATGTAGCAGTGTGCAATTAGGTTTTATTTCCTTTTTTGCGCCGTTTTTTTTACTACCTGTGTATTTATTTTCATATGTAGCACATAAAACATAATATGATTGGGGGGGAAAAAACTTTGTAAAAGGTGTGAATTTGACTTGACTTGAAGAATTGCAGTGTAGTTTTGTTTCCAAAATGCTGTTTATAAATCCTGCTCCATTTAAAAAATGTTTGGATTAAATAATTGTTCCTCATCAATGTATCTTCATAGGTCATCTGTATGTAGGGAGAGATTGATGGTACATAATGTGTATCCTTGTTGTTTTTTAAGGTCATTTAAGTGTCACACAACATGGGTTCTCAGCCACCCCATGAAAACAATGCCTCAAATAATGATACATTTCTGTTATGACAAAATGTAATACGCGAAGTCAGCCAATATTTATTGTATTTTGTTGAGAAAATCTGTAGGCCTATATTGGTATCTTAAATTCTGGAATATTTGTCTTCCTCTTCACCATTTAAAAAAAAGTTCACCTAATTTATTTTTCTGAAGTTGTATGGGATACTCATTTGCTGAAGGATAAAGTCTCTGTTAACTGTACTGGTAGTATTAATCAACTTCATCCTCTCCCTGACATGCTCAAGTGTCTGTTAGTTTAACGGTTATTTTTTTCTTTTCTTTTTTTACTATTAGGCCTTTTTATATGTTTGAAATGTCCTACAATACCAAATACATGGTTGCTTCAATATGTCTGTGTCGACGCTTTCACTTACCATCAGGTTGCCTTGACATTGCACTCCTGTTTGATACAGAAAGATAATTGAATTTGTTAATCTCCCCCCTTCTACTCCCAGACATTGTTAGAGTGCTGATCATGCAAATGTAGCTTCTAAAATAACTTTAATTTCACCCAGTTACAATCAGCCTTTGTTCAGAGGCTAAGAATTGTCTCAAAGTAGTCACTCTGCCCGTGTAAATCTTTTAAGTGTACATAACTTTGTAAAAACACTGAGAAATTATACTAACTTATTTATGTCAAGCTTTTTTTATGTAGAATAAAATGGGGTTTTGATTAAGGTTATCCAAAGTTGCATTTACATATTTTTTTTTTGTAAAAGCATATTTTTGGTAGTTTTTATTTTATCAAAAAAGGTTGCAACCTGAGCCTGATTTTAAAATATTTGATGTGCATTGTTTGATGTGTGGTTAAGATGTGTTGCAATCAATTAAACAGAAGTTACATCTTTATCTGATTTGTTGGTCATGTTTGCACTGTTGATAGGAAGCTCTCCAGCCTACACACAGTCACTCTCTCTTTCTCTCTCTCAGCAAGTATACAGCATAAATATTTTATTGAATGTCGATTATGCTAATATATCATCCATATCCCTCCTTCATAACTTGATGTTTAATTCTATATATTGCACAGAGAAACTGCATGTGCTCTCTTGGGAAAAATGAATTGCATATGAGGTATGATGTTTCTAAAAAAGCCCACTCGTGAATCACAATTAAAAATACCTCTCAGGACTCCAGGCAAAACTACGTTAAATTTCAGTTTAATAGATTGCTGTGATTGTGTCATACCTCGGTTCTCTCCATACACACTGCTTTTAGTATGAGATTTTAAACATTATCATCCTGGAATAAAGTCCTAGGCATGCAGAGATTTAACTCGTTAAAAACACTTGTTCTTTTTGTGATTCTAGTGCTTTTCACAGCAGTTAGGAGTAGATACAGTATTTCAGTCATTTATGTCATTTTTATCAATTGGTGTATTCTCTTCCGCTCAAGGACAAACTGGAACTAACCCGTGCGCATTCGGTACAATTAGGCACATTACGCATGCATGTTTCAAGCATGAAGTAGCACGTAATAGGATCCGGTAAATCCAAACGATGTTATTGCTTCTACGGTTGCAAAATCAGGCTATTTCAAGATAGTTTAGCTTGTGTTAAAAATCCACTAAAGCACGGCTGACCAGATATGCCGCTGTATGCGCAGTGACACTCCCAATATGATGAAATCGTAATGTATTTTGAAAAATGCCTGGTGATTGACGTTTGGGTCCTCCAATCCGGTTATGGCTAAGGAAAGCACACCACTGTTGCAGCCAGTTACATTTGTCTTATGGAAAGTTTGAACTGCAAAGTTTCTAGGGGTGAAAAAAACACTCACCACAGGTCCACAGTTGAAATGATATAAGGTTAGTCTTAATGCATGATTTCTGTTGTTATATTTCGTCACAGAGAATGCACTAGTGTAGCCTATATCCAACAAATACTGTAATTGCATTAATATAGATGTTTTAACTGTAGTTTGAGTTTGAATTAGTTGTAGAAAAAAGGATGTAGAAATATATCCCTGATACTGTAATGAGTATTGTTAATAAAACAACTCTATATGATATACAGTATGTCATTTTATTGATTTCTTTATAGATTAAAGCTATACAAACAATATTTTGACATAGATTGTTCATTTGCCTTCTTTTTTTTTTGAGTATTTGCTAATGAGTTGAAACTAAAAAGAGTTTACTCTCATGTTTTTATAATTAAGGCACAATGGCGTATATTTATTCAAATTTGTACACCAGAATTATATTTCGTCACACGTTTTACTGGGCTAGCTCATTTGGAGAGTTGTTTGCAACAATTTATAGGCCTACTATTCTGTACAACTATAAGCTTCAGATTTTCAACCAATATATTTGCCTACACTAATAGTGATCAGCTACATTAAGGAATTCTATAGCAGTAATATTTATTTATATTTTTTTGGTAATCAATTACATTGTAAAGATTAGCATGAAAGCAGAGCCATAAAAACATGTTCACTGCTGAATTACATTTTTAGTCTTTCTCTGACTAATTATCTATTGCATAATTTTTCATGAATTTGTCAAGATGCACACTTTCACTACCTAATTCCATCAGATCAATTCCAAGGCAATTTATAATCTTGATTTTGTGAAGGGGTCAATTCAATCCATTAGTCTGAAATTACTCAGGCCTAGTCTTTCGTGTAAGCACACACACACACACACGCACGCACGCACGCACGCACACACACAAACACACCAAAGATCCACTACAATTCTAAAATGATGTATTTTTAAAGAGGATATTTTGTGTCGAGTTGGTAAAGGGCTCCCTCCGCTCCTCACACCACTACAGCCTGACAGCACCATGAAGGCCCCCCTCCGCTCCTCACCCCACTACAGCCTGACAGCACCATGAAGGCCCCCCTCCTCTCCTCACCCCACTACAGCCTGACAGCACCATGAAGGCCCCCCTCCGCTCCTCACCCCACTACAGCCTGACAGCACCATGAAGGCCCCCCTCCTCTCCTCACCCCACTACAGCCTGACAGCACCATGAAGGCCCCCCTCCTCTCCTCACCCCACTACAGCCTGACAGCACCATGAAGGCCTCCCTCCTCTCCTCACCCCACTACAGCCTGACAGCACCATGAAGGCCCCCCTCCTCTCCTCACACCACTACAGCCTGACAGCACCATGAAGGCCCCCCTCCTCTCCTCACACCACTACAGCCTGACAGCACCATGAAGGCCCCCCTCCGCTCCTCACCCCACTACAGCCTGACAGCACCATGAAGGCCCCCCTCCTCTCCTCACCCCACTACAGCCTGACAGCACCATGAAGGCCCCCCTCCTCTCCTCACCCCACTACAGCCTGACAGCACCATGAAGGCCCCCCTCCTCTCCTCACCCCACTACAGCCTGACAGCACCATGAAGGCCCCCCTCCTCTCCTCACCCCACTACAGCCTGACAGCACCATGAAGGCCCCCCTCCTCTCCTCACCCCACTACAGCCTGACAGCACCATGAAGGCCCCCCTCCGCTCCTCACCCCACTACAGCCTGACAGCACCATGAAGGCCCCCCTCCTCTCCTCACC